CAAAGGCAATCGAGCTGAACCATTACATGGATGACTACCTGCACAGCTTCCATTCAGAAGAGGACTTCAAGAGAATTACAGCGCAGGTGGACTTCATTCACAAAAAGGCGGGCTTCGAACTCCGAGGATGGGCGTCAAACCACTCCGACCTGCTGCAAGACGTGAAGACTGAGTCAGTTGAGAAGACAGAGGTGGACCTTGGTGAGAAGGAAGAGAAGACACTGGGACTACGCTGGTTTACAGAAAGGGACTCCATAGGCTTTAGGGCGAACCTTCGGAACACGCCAGATGAAGTGGCACAAGGACTCAAGGTACCTACGAAGAGAGAAGTCACCAGCGCCGTGATGTCGACCTTCGATCCACTAGGGCTAGCATCACCAATTCTCATCCAAGGCAAAAGGCTGCTCCAGAACATATGGCGAAGTGGCGTCGGTTGGGATGAAGAGATAGAAGAAAAGGAGTACGAGTCATGGAAGACTTACCTGGAGAAGATGAAGCTGCTCCAAGACCTTCAGATCCCGAGATGTCTGGCACCACGTCGCACCGAGGGGGAGCTGCACACGTTCACGGATGCAAGCGAAATGGCGTATGCAGCTACGGTATATTGGAGAACTGAAAATCAAAATGGGACTTATGACGTCAGCTTAGTAGCAGCAAAAGTAAGAGTCGCTCCGTTGAAGCCGGTGTCAATCCCGAGACTCGAGCTGCAAGCGGCCCTCCTAGGAAGCAGATTGGCACACTCGGTCGAGGAAGAAATGGATCTGAAAATAGAAAAGAAGACGTTTTGGACAGACTCCAGTATCGTGCTATCATGGATCAAGACGGACCCGAGAACCTTCAAGACATTCGTGGCTCATCGCTTGGCGGAGATAGAAGATCTCACAAAACCACAGGACTGGAGATGGGTACCGACGGCGCAGAACCCTGCAGATGATGCAACACGTGACGTACCAGAACACTTCGACTGCCAACACCGATGGTACACCGGACCAGGGTTTCTAAGAAGAGATGAAGTTCACTGGCCTGCGGCAAGAACATTCAAGAAAGAAACCACTGGCGAAGAAAAGGCAGCGGACATCGTAGCGACTGCAGGCAGCTCCTATCCATCACCAGATCCCGAAAAGTTCTCGTCGTGGAAAAGACTTTGGCGAGCTACAGCAAGAGTACTGCAGTTCATACAACTCTGCAGAAGAAAGGAAAAGGTCCACGCCAGCAAAGAAGATCCTACCTGGAAAACTACAAAAAGGAATAAGAAAATTGTTGAGAAGCGACATCTGTCTTCAAAAACGTCAGAAAGGAAATACATACCATTGGAAACAAGTCTACTAGAGCAAGCTGAAACGCTGTTGTTAAGAAGAAGTCAAGAGAAATGCTTCAAAGAGGACATCAGGTGCCTACAGCAAGGAAAACAATTAGAGGGCAGCAGCAAGTTGAAAAGGCTCGACGTAGTGCTAGAAGAAGGTCTCCTGCGACTGAAAGGAAGAATCGACGCGATACGAGGGGTTACCAGAGACTACAAACGACCCATCGTACTCGACAGCAAGGACAAGACAACACTTCTCATCATAGAAGAATTTCACTGCCGCTTCAATCACGGGAATCACGCGACCGTAATGAACGAAGTAAGACAACGCTTCTGGGTGCTAGGACTGAGGTCAGCGATCAAGACCATTCAACATCAATGCCAGTGGTGCAAAACAAGAAAGGCAAGACCTCAAGAACTACCAGTGGGCAACTTACCTGCTGAGAGGCTGATGCACGGAAACCCTCCATTTACGTGCACGGGAATAGATTACTTCGGCCCTATGACGATCACCGTAGCAAGACGCCATGAGAAGAGATGGGGTGCTTTATTCACATGCTTAACAACACGAGCTGTACACATTGAGCTCACTCCTTCACTCTCCACTGACAGCATGATCATGGCACTACGACGATTCGCCGCGAGAAGGGGAATGCCAAAGATAATCTACACCGACAATGGCACTAACTTCGTTGGCGCCAACAAAGAACTCAAAGAAGCACTAGACACCATGAAGCAAGAAGACCTTATCTCGGAAGCGGAGAAGATCGGTGTGCAGTGGAAGTTCATACCTCCTGGTGCACCAAACATGGGAGGTGCATGGGAGCGTCTGGTGCGATCCATTAAAACCGCACTGGACGCCACGCTCAACGAAAGGCAACCACGAGAGGAGGTACTTCATACCCTCCTGTTAGAGGCCGAGCACATAGTCAACTCTCGGCCCCTCACCCACCTCTCCGAGAACCCTGAAGAAGAAGCACTTACACCGAACCACTTTCTCATCGGGCGATCATGTGGCGCAGCAAGAATCGGCAGCTTCGAGGACAACGAGCTTGTGGGCAGACACACCTGGAAGGCTACGCAGCGACTTGCCGATCACTTCTGGCAACGTTGGCTGAGAGAGTATTTGCCCACTCTACTACCAAGGAAGACCAAAGGAAGAGTCAGCGCCACAGATTTGCAAGTCGGAGACATCGTACTGATCGTCGATCACAGCCTACCAAGATGCATCTGGCCACGCGGAAGAATCCTGCATGTGTATCCTGGACCAGACGGGCGGACCAGAGTCGTCGACGTCGAGACCAGAGGAGGTGTTCTACGGAGGCCCAGTTCGAGAGTGGTGCTGTTGGTGCCGGGAGCGTCGCCGAGTCCAGGAGTTGGTGCAAAGCACGAGGGGGAGAATGTCGGCGACGGAAAACCTATCTTCGAGTAACGTGTGTATTAATATAGGGACAATGTCATTTTAGCGTATTATGAATAATTGTTGTAAATATGAAATCTCATTCTTATTAGATTTATTATGTTAAAATAAGTTCTAATTAGTGTAATAAGGTTAGTTTAGAGTATTTTTTGCTTATTTGAATCATATAAGACTATTTAACATTAATTTGAAAGGAATAGGTACGTAAGTAAAATGTTAGCATATAATTACGTAACTTGAAAATGAGATTTTTTGTTTCTTGCAATAGCATAATAGTTTATGTTTTAAATAATAGATTTTATTATAAAACTTATAATAAAACAAGAATTAGGTCGATAGGACTATCCGTTCAAAAGTTATAAGGGAAAATGTATAGTAAAAATGTAGCAACTTAGAAATTTAGATATTTTTGTTTTAAGACTTTTTTAATTAATTATTATATATTGAATATTATGTTTTAATATTGTATAATAGTATGTAAGGCATGTAAATAAATAAATATGTGTAAGGTGTTTTACTGAAAACATAAAATAAAAGGACTCTCAAGGTTTCGGTTTAGGGAAATTTTATTCGAAAAATGAGCTCAAAGTACGCGGCTCTCTGTAAGGTATTAACGGGCCAAATAAAAGGCGAGCCATTTCTCGATTCGAGTCAGTCGCAAGACAGCCACCGAAGAGGCAACAACTAAAAGGAAAAGGAAGAACCGAAACCAAGAGAGAAAAAAGGAAAAATTGTGTTTTATTTCATCGCCTCTAAGTATAGTCTCCTGTCAACGAAGAAACCCTAGTGGATCGGGACCCAAGCTACGCATTCAGGGGTGCGTGGTGGCGTACATTACCAGCGAACGGACATACTGCCGTGTACGCCAAGAACGTCTGGGAGATTGTCCCAGGTCGACCTCCGGGTACTAGACATACCCTGGTTCTGGTCGTCCGAAACAAACACTTATCTCCTGTGGGAGTCGAATGTTTGAGATAGTTTGCAGTACAAGTAGTTCGCCACCACAAGTTTGCACTGCGACGACATATTATGTTACATTATTACGATACAATGTACTGCAATCATTTGTTTTTATAATAATAAAATGATACTCGTAGATTCAAAAAATTATATACATACACTCGCGTTTGACCGATTATAAACTATAGGACGTCCTTCTAAGATTTAGTTAAATATGGTTAGATAAGTGACAAGTGAATTTAATAAAACTTGTTAAAAATGAATGTAGTTTAAGTAAACTTAAGTTCAAATTATATTAGGATCAAATTGGTATCACGTTAATCTTCTACTATATAAATGCGGAAATTCGGATAGATGGATGTTTGTTACTCAATCACGCCAGAATGGCTGAACGGATCTGGATGAAATTTAACGCAGAGATAGATTATAGCCTGGAATAGCATATAGGCTATTTTTTATCCTGGAAAAATACACGGTATCCGTGGGATAGATTTGTTTTTGTTTTTCACTAGGGACGAACCCGAGCAAAGCGAGGGTGAGCCGCTAGTATTTTATAGTAAATGAATGTGTGTTCGTTTCTTCTCGATGTTGCAGCAGCTTAACATGATTTTAGTCTACCTGCCTACTGAATATAATAGTAGTTTTTTTTTGTAAAAAATATTATTGACAAAAATCTTTAAAATTTTATATTTTTAAAAGCGTAATATTTGAGTACAATAACTCGAGACGTTTTACATAACTTTAATATCCTACTGATTAATACATCTCACATAATATCAATTACATCGATTCAAAGATACAGGTGGAGCTTGCAGTGCTAAGTATTCTACATAAGAATAAGAGGAGGGTTGGGGGTTAAAGTTCATGAGGGTTGTATTTAATTTCTATGGACAGCAATACAAACAAAAATGCGAGGAAAGATTTAGGTGGAGCTATATTTTTATATAATTATAGCTTTTACCTATACTTTAAAAGCTCTACAAGATGCTAGCATACGTAACTTCAAAGCGAGAGGTGCCAACAAAATCAATGCATTCAGCAGTTCGTGACAAACTACATTCGTGTCAAGAGGGAATAAAGCTTGGGCCAAGTTCACAACTTGTGCGGGTTTCGTGTACAGTAATTATGACATTTGACTGAGCTTTAATTTTAAATAATATAATGTAATTCTTATGGAAGTTTGATGATGATCAATAATATGTATATGATATGAATAATTATATCAAATTCAATTAAATCATAATTATATAAAATATCAACTTCAAAATTAACTTAAAGTGTAGTAATTTTACATACACAGGTGAAACTTATTATTAAATGGAGTCACTTTTAGAAAGAGAGAGGAGACAGAGAGAGATAGAAAGAGAGAGGAAGAGAAGGAGAGGAAGAGAAGGAGAGGAAGAGAAACAAGTAAACCAATGCATTTAAGAATAATTACGAACGAAGATAAGCGTTTATGCAAAAAAAAAACAGCATGCATACATATATTTCTTACTTTTTCTGAAGTCGATCAAAAACCAAAACACAGATAATTAGAGTATAAAATGCAATACTTTGAAGTTTTCTGTGTACTATTTTGTTCAGTGAAGGTAAAAAGTCGAAAAATCAATGTAACGCCTGCAGCTGTGGCTCGCGTGTCGGGCCAAGTTCGCTCGCTGCCATACATGCATATGTATATACACACATTCGTAGGTAAGTATAAGCGCTGGGTATATTACATGTGCTAATAGGAAAATACAGTATGCACTAAACAAAATTGTAGGCTTAACAAATCATTGACATCATTATATTTAATGCAAACAAACCGTAATCATAGCAATTTTGAACATATTGGCATGAATTAATTATGAAATCAAAGTCACATCTAGAGGGAAAACTTAAATAATATAAATGGGTCCAAATTAATTAAAAGCAAGTAGCGTTAAACATAACAGTACGAAGTTCGACGTTCTATTATAACTTTCCAGGTCGTCTTCAAATTTATTTCAAATCACTTAAAAATTTATGCTATAGCTACAATCTATTTAATGGCAGAGGCATTCCGAAATGGCCCATTTTTAGTTTATTGAAGGTTTTTATTTTATATACCTCATGCCAAAAAATGTCGTCATTAAAAGGCAGTGGTAGCCCAGTGGTGACGCGCTCGCTTGGGAAGCCGAGGAAGCGGGTTCAAATCCCCTCTGAAATTTTCATGTGCGAATCATTTCTAACATGATTACCACTTGCCTTACGTTGAAGGAAAAACATCGTGAGGAAACCTGCATGTCTGAGAGAACCTAGCAAGTTTTCGAAAGACATGTGAAGTCCGCCTACCCACCAGCCAGCGTGGTGGACTATGGCCTGATCCCCTTCGTATTGAAGGGAGGCCCGTGCCCAGCAGTGGGACGTTAAAAAGGGCTGAATTACCTAATGTCTACGGTTTTACCTGCGGGTGCATAGGAATATTGTGTTTACAGTATAAATGGATGCCGACGCATTTTTAATTAAAGTGTTTATACGAAGTTAGACATAATTGTAACTTATGAAATTTCTTTTTAACCAAAAATACAAACTGAATTCAAAATTAGATTAAATGTAACTATGGCTTTTTGGCTGGAGTTTTTCCTGAAGTTTCAGGTCTTTCATAAAAAAAGAGGATAATGAAAACCTTTCAGATTAATGATGAAGATATCGCGTAACACTTAAGGTACTTATATTTTAATAAAAAGCTTTATTAACGTTGAAAAATCGATATTGTTTCAATTAAGTCCTCTATAAATAAAATTCTTTATAAATATTTATAGAATTTTTTTTAGAGGAATTAATATTATGTATATTATATTATTCTATTTCTTAAATTTTAGTATAATATACTTCTAAGAAATCTCTCAGTAATATTATAGAAAATAAGAAATACAGGGTGGCCCAAAATAACGTTGACAAGTGATTTTTCAAATAATTTTATTAACTATAAATCTAAATGAAATTATGCTATAAATTATAAAAATACAACTTATTTTTTACAAGAATCCCTATTTGTCTTTAAAATAACCTCCTTTAGCGCGAATGCATAGAGTCAAACGCTTGGTAAAATTTTCCACAATTTTCCGCACTTCTTCAACAGATATTTTGTCCCACTCCCGTGTAAGAGTAGCCTTCAGGTCATCAACAGTTCTATGAGGCGTAGAACAGGTCCTTGCCTCTAATATTGACCATAAACTGTAATCCATGGGATTCAGATCAAGCGAGTAGGGTGGCCATTCTTTTGAGCTAATGAAATCAGGGAAATTGCTTTTGCACCACTGTTGAATACTTAAAGCTCTGTGAACTGGAGCAGAGTCTTGTTGAAATATCCATGAATGGTTACCAAAGTGCTGTTGACTCCAAAGAATAACCACAGTTTCAAGGATGTCTCGTCGGTAATTTTTTTGGTTAAATTGTATACAATTTTCTACAAAAACGAGGGGAGTTTTGCCAGTGGCGCAAATTGCACCCCAAACCATAATTGATTTTGCGTTTTGGCGACGTGGAATGATTGCGGCAGCTCCAGGACGAGTGGAAGACCAGATCCTGTCATTTTGGTAATTATGGGCTTGTTCTATCGAAAACAATTTTTCGTCGGAGAATACGATATTTTTCCAATTCGAAGCAGCGGAGCGTTGTATAAGCAAACGACATCTCTCAAGGCGAACTTTTTTGTCTTTTTCTGTAAGCAATTGCGCTTTTCTGAGTTTGTATGGTATTAATTGGAGATCATATTTCACTATAGGCTGCACGGTGGAGCGACTTATCCCTAAGTCTCGCGACATTTTTCTCAACTTGGTATGTGGATTTCGGACTAATCTTTGTTTGATAATGTGTTGGTTCCTAGCAGTTCGAACAGTCCGCTTGCGTCCTCTCCCAGGACAGTCTTCGATGTTGCCGAGCTCAACAGAGCATTTAATTGCTGAAGAAACTAGCTGACGACTAACACCAAGAATGTTTACTATCTCACACTGCCGTTTTCCACGCTCATACAATGAAATTATGGCTCCACGCTGCTCTGACATAACGTAATAAATATATTTTAAACCTTTTTAGCCAACAAACAATATTAAAATGGTGCCAAAGAATGAAGAAAGAATAAACAAAAACAAAAGAGAACGCAAGGCATTCCATTTTTAAAATATTATTTTTTTAATTTTGTCAACGTTATTTTGGTCCATCCTGTACTATCATAAATGCAAAACTTTGTATGTGTGTGTGTTTACGCTGAAACGGCTGCACGGATTTGGATGAAATTAAGTATAGAGATAGATTATGGGGTCATAATGAGGATGATCGTTTGACTGAAACCCAAACATGAATTATATACCTATTATAAAGAAAATTCGATACTTTTGTATCAATTTCATTTCACCGGTGGCAGGATTGTCAGGCCTTAGGAGTAACCTAACCTAACCGCCCCCTTATCTAAATCTCCCGCCAAGCAACAAAGACTACATTGTAATGATCCGGTTTGAAGGGTAAGGTAACCAGCGCAGTTACAGGCAAGAGGTATATCATCTTGGTCCTCACAGTGATAACGCACCTGTGGTTCTGCATTTTTGTTGCACAAAACCTAAGTGCATGAACCGTAGATGTTATGGGCGACAGGTACTGCTTTCCTTCAGGTGAGCTGTCTGCTCGTTTATCACTGACCACCGGCACTGAGACCTGGCACCATAAAAAAAACAATTCGCAAAAGGCACCTAAGGTCGTATTCGAGCAAAGCGAGAGTAAGTCACTAGTTTCTACTATTAATTAAATGTGACCGTAAATGTTTTCGTCAAATTCAAATCTAAATCTACGAAATATAGTTTATTTATACCAAGTCAATACAATCCAAGCGCAGTACACAGCCACCAGATGGCCATTATTTAATCTAGAACAAAACATAATTTATAATTACTGTACCTTTCATCCAGTGTTAGCTCATTAAGAGCTTCTTGTACTACTTATTACTTTGTTAAAGAACTTTTACAACTTGGAAATCTCAAGCGTAGCTGTGTGACGAAGTGGTCTTGGAAATTATCCAAATGGAGCCTTCAGGAAATGGGTCCAATAATTTTCATTAAAAAAATATTGTGAATTTAACTTTATAATTCTCCTCTTATTTTTACTAAGATACAACAAGTTTTGACTAAGTAGTATTTTTATTTTAAATAAAACTATCTTTTCGGATTTTATCGCGGATTTATTTGGATTTTTAACCGAATTCCAAAAAGGAGAAGGTTATCAATTCGTCGGAATCTTTTTTTTTCTTTTTTTTTATGTATGTTCACCGATTACTCAAAAACGCCTGAACCGATTTGGAAATTTTTTTTTGTTTCAAAGGGTATACTTCCTAGGTGGTCCCATATAAATTTTATTGAAATCGGTAGAGCGGTTTTTTAAAAAATCAACAATATTTAAATATTTTTTAAATAAATTGCTTAATCGAATATGTTATTAAAAAGTTTTTTCTTACAAATGACCTGCTTATTACGTCTACACTAAAAATGGAAAAATAAAAACTTTTTAACAAAAAATAAAAACCGACTTCCAAGCACTAAAATGTAAAAAATAACTAAACGGAGGTTTTCATTTAGAATAGATAGCTAATCAGATATTTTCGAAGCCGGTGCCAGCCTACAATATTTTAAGATATGAATATCTAATAGGTAAATATGTATTTTACGTATCGAAATATATTAGATTTCCTTTGCAATGGCTGGCACCAACTTCGAAAATATCTGATTAGGTATCTATTCTAAATGAAAACCTCCGTTTAGTTATTTTTACATTTTAGTGCGTGGAAGTCGGTTTTAATTTTTTGTTAAATTTTTTTTTTGGTTCCCGACTTTTCGAATGCTTTACAGCATTCATGGTCACGGGAAAGACTGAGGTGTTAGATGTCTCGAAGGTATAGTTGTTACAGACAGCCTACCCACAAATAACAAAATGAAAATTGCACCAATTACCTTACAATATTTTTTTTAACTTTAAACATTTTTTTTATAATTTTAATTAGTTTTATAATTGAATATGGAAAATTATTAATTTAATTTTGTTGTTGACCATATTAGGATAGCCAGCTATCATTATACCAAATTTCATCAAAATCCCTCCAGTAGTTTTTCCGTGATGCAGTAAGTAACAGACAGGCAAAAATTTCAAAAACTGTAGATTCGGCCTTTGTAGCGATAATAATGTCTATTTCAATAAGATTTAAAAAAAAATAATGTACAGATTTGGCTTAGTTACAATTTTATTATACGTATAGATTAGATGTAATATAACAAGTTGGCTGTCAAGGGCGGCATAAATGTATTAGATACATGAAATAGGATTTAAATGAAGAATTCAACATATTTTTATCTAATATAAAAAATCATTGAAATTGATCCATCCGTTTAAGATATACAAAGCAGTAGACATGCAGACACACAACGATATAAAGATCTAACTTAAAACGCCGTTCATTTTGTGCCGAAGACTAACAAATAGAGTAAGTTATTGTGACCAGTATTAACGTAATTTGCATTAATGTTAAAGTACCAGGCTAAAGCTAATATATCGCCAGAAACTAATTGCGGGGGTAAATTAAGGGATTCCTTTTACACTGGCTACATATATTTTTTGATTAAAGGCTTTTTCAAGGCATCTAAAACTATTTTTAGAATGGGTTAAAAGATAAAATCTTGGCAATGAACATCAAATCCTTCAGCGACGCATGTAATTTATTCGAAACATTTCGTATTCAGCCAAAAACTTCTGATACATTATGGTATCGACCACTGGACCCAGGGCCTATTTTTAGCGATCGACCCATCTGTACATACCTACGTGAAATTCAGGGAGGATTTTATTGGTCTGTTAAGAATGACGTCACGACGAGGAGTCGACCAATCGCGCTTGGAGGCTCTGCGCATGATCTGCAAGCCTTCTCTCCAGCGAGGAGCGATCCAGTCAGTCTGGGCCCGCGGTACACAGGTGTGCCGAGCTCGCGGTCACACTATACAAGGTTAATATACCACTATTTCCAACATTATGTTATTATTATGGTTATATTGTGTGAAATTTGCCAAAAATTTTGTGTTTTTGTGCATATTTTTTTAATATTTTCGTGTATTTTGCTAGTTGCGTAATGGGTGTTGGCGTGTGAGGGAGATAGCTATGTTTCAGTGACATCCAAATTAGAATATTATGTAATGTCTGAATTATTCATCTGAATGTGGTTTTACGTCATTGCAGGTTTCTAGCTTATGAAAGTTATAGAGCAATGGAGAACGAATGCATTTTATTAGTATGATTGATTTGAACCGCAAATGTAGGCCAATCTCTGAAGAACTTTTCAAAAGACAAGCTTAAAAATAACAGCTTGTATCTTCATAATTTATATGGGTCACCATTATTTTTACAAACTAAGCATAGGTATTTAATGTCTTTATAATATTTAGTGAACATATATGTATGTATTTGTGTTAGGATTTTTCCTCAATCTTTATTTCACTTATAATTCGAGTTGTTTTAGAATGAGGGTTGAATGGCAGATGGTGGAATGATAAATAATTCATACACGTCGCGCCCTTTCTCGCGCGCTATTTATATGAAATGATATATTTATTAAGTGTTACAAAAATAATAGTATAAAGTAAAATAAAAAGAGATGTTGGTCTAAATCATAATACTTTTAAATAAATTTTGACTTTTTGGCATCTTCTGTTTTCGAAATTGATAATAGTTTCATATAGGTATATTTTCTCTTTTTTGATGAACCAAAGTACTAAATATTATAATATTTTTTTAATAATTCGATAAGAGGAATAATAATTATTCTCTCTTCTATATAAGCTCAAGTTATATTGCCGACAAAACATAGACATATGAAAATGTTTAAAAGTCATATAATGTTTATCACAAATGCTTGAGAAAACTGTACATTTTTACTGTTTTTCCCGTAATTTTAGTAAAATTATGTCTCAAGTGAGCTTTCGGATGTATGCCGCCGGAAGCTGCTCCTCAGCCACTTCCGTTCGCCATCTTGTGCCCGGAAACATACTAGGTTTATGACTTCCGCGTCTTTGAGTGCCAAAATGTAAAGCTTTGTAGCATTGTATAATTCATTTGCAACATGAAGGTATGAAAATGGAGGGAAACAGGTTTTTTATAGTAGAAGTAAAAAAATTGTTTAATTTGAAGGTTTTATAGAAGAATATTTTTATACAGAGAGAGAGAGAGAGTTTAAATACAAATAAAACATAAATCCGACGGATAATTTATTTTCTGGAACTTTAAGATTTTGTATTAAATATTGTATAAGTATCTTTTTTACGCTATCTATCATAACAAATAAAATTCAACTCGCTTATTATCTTAGATATTTCAATTTTCAACAGGAAATTCTTAACAAAACGTCCATTTTTACAGAATCCAGCGCACCATGACCAACTAGGGCCACAACCGAAACATATCAAAAATGCACTGATAGCTTATAAGTTAAGAATCGATATTTGTTTATTCATTCGACTGTCTGGGGCTGAGCCCCGGGTGTACGGTGGAGGACGAGGGTGCACTGCTCGGGCGGCTGCAGGGCGCGCTGCGGGGGGGCGCGGCCGCCGCTTCTCCGTCAAGAGTCGCGAGCTCTATCAGGGGCTACCTTTCTAACAAGGTTGGCTCTCTACAGCTCAAAGACACAGGTAAGACAATCAAAAATAGCTTAACAATAAGTTATTATCATCTTATTACATAGTACATACTTAAAACATCGACTTATTTAATACTACAAAATGCGAATCTCAATGTTAATCTAAATATAACTTGTATTTGTAAACTAATGACTGACTCTTACTTCACTCAGCACCTTTTGCATTTATAATTTTACCCGCCCTCTTTGCTCAGACTTGATGAGTTAATTACTTTCTACATATAAATATAGGTAATAAACATGTACACTGTACAGTGTACACTTGGACTTTCCTAAAGGAATAATAATACTGAAAACTGTTCGTCCGTTGCATGGTTTAGAAGAAGTAAGCTCACAAACGTGAATAAAATTTGTATTTTTGCTATTTAGAGACATCAAGTATAAAGACTACTATATCGTGAGAGGAAAACTAAACCGAATGCATATGAAGCACCATATAATTTATATTAAAACTTCCCCGACGCATGTAATCGACTATTCATTGAAACTTACATTCGATAATAACTACTATAAAACTTCTATAACACCTCCAGGTAAAATGCTAAGAAATTAATTAAAATTCTAAGAAATCTATTGTTAACTGACACGCCGGCGTGTCCGCGGTCGTGGAGGGATTAATATTTCTATGTTTGGTAGCTCAAGTAATCGATAAGCTCACAAAGTGATTAAGCAACTGGCATTATTCACATACACGCGCTGATCAGAACTTTCTGATACAAAAAATAACAGTTTGGTAAAACAATTATATAATATTTAAAATATCTTTTCCTTTTTTTCTTTACCAGTCAGAAGCAAAAATAACAGTTTTAACAAAAACAAATGAGTCATTAAAGCTTCCTATGACTCGTTTCATACAAAAAACATACTTATATTTGTTGTTTATAGAGGAATGATGTCGTAACAACTAACAAGCCTGAAGCAAATAAGGGGGACGTGTTTGTTTAAAGGTAGAAAACTGGGGAGGACATGACTGCTGATGTTATATTTCTACTATTTTTACAAACTAGGTTTAGTTAACTTTGCTATTCTACTTGCTGTCTTTCAATATTCAACACAGAAATCAAATGTAGCCTCTTACATAAAAAAATATTTAAGTATTCTAACGACACGTTTGGCTCCTACTTGTTGTACCAGCGGTCACGGATTCGAGTCCCGCTGGGGGCATTCACTTGTGTGATAAACACGAATGTTTGTATTCCAGTCATGGGTGTTTATATCTATACATACAATAAAATTGTAATTAAGCCAAATCTGTGCATTAAATATTTTTTGGAAAATGTTATTGAAATAGACATTATTATCGATACAAAGGCCGAATCTATAGTTTTTAGAATTTTTGTCTGTCTGTTACCGCATCACGGAAAAACAACTGGAGGGATTTTGATACAATTTGGTGTGATGATAGCTGGTTATCCGGGTCAACATATAGAGTACTTTTTACTGCGGGAAAATATCTCATAACTGAGAAATCTATACTAAACATTAATATAAAGCCAAAGCTGGATAGAGTTGGTATCAACGCGAAATGTTAAAATGTCGTTGATTTAAGAAAAATAATTTGATAGTATTAAGCTTTTTAATATTATAATGCCTAAATACTAACAAAGTAAGTCAGTCAATATTTACGAGTATTTTACAATTTCCATCAAACATCAGCCCGACTGAAAGTGACAAGAGGGAATTGAATCGCGCCTTTGATCTGGCAAATTGTATAATGTTGATAAACTTATCATACACCCTTGCCATGAGGATCTATAGTCTTGATTTTTACATGAATTGATTACACTTTTCACACATAAAATAGCTATTCTATGAAAATTTTTTTTGCTATTTTAATAACAACAATTATAATCTATATATAAATAGGCAAAGACGAAACCATTCTACATATATTTTTCTCCTTCGTTTGTCAGCCGATTGTTTTTGTTTAATACCTAGTTATTGAAGACCTTTAGTGTTATCAATAAAAAAAATTGGATAAAGTAAGTTTTTTTTGCTAAGATAGATAGGTAAATTCTATTCGTATATGTTTTCTTCAAATTTGATAATATTATTGTCAAATTTTTACTATTGGGCAAACGGTAACAACGAACGATAATTTAATACACAATAATGTTACCGAGCTGGCAGGTGCGATTTTTTTGGGTATATTTGTATTAATATTTTGATTATATAAGTTTCTCCCGTGGTTTTGTCTAAACCTTATCGTTGGGAACTACTTCGTTTCACAAGATCCTTATATCTCTAGTATTGTCAGTTCGTCGTCCCGTGGGACCGCGGGAGGGATGGAATAGAACGTACACTAAAAGTCGGTCAGGAGGACATTATTATCTATAAAGAGAAATAGCGTGAAGCTATAAAAATGTCTATAAATAAAAATCTATTGTTTAAAAAGCGTGATGATTTTACTGTACACTAAATATCTAATCAGATATCTTCATTATATCCTAACTTATTTTCTATAGATATATGAATATATTATTCTAATTCTAATGACAAAAAACTCCATAGTTTTTGGTCCATTTAAGTCATATGTATATCAAAATATATGTCCGATGGAAACCCATGTCCAACTTTTAAGCTCATGAACTATTTTTATGCAAATTATTGTAAGGATTTATGTGTATTTGTTGCAAAGTTACTACGTAAAAGAAGAACAACCTAACAAACACACTGTCGTATTTATATAGATACAACATGAGTTAATCAAAATAAGTGTCCTCACTTCATTGTGGCTCAGACATACTCCGCACAGATATTTTAGTATCTGTTTACGATATACAAATATTTACCACGCTTAATGACATTATATATTCTATTTCTATGCAAATATCTTGATTAGTTATTACAAAGGATATTTGTTACAAACATTTTACTTAGATACTTTTATATTAAATAGACCACAAAACCTCACGAAAACAATATTATAATAAGTATCTCTACCTAATGTTCAAACGGTTATCTTCAAAGGCTTGTAATTCGTTAACTGTGCTCCTTCGCCTTCACTAATTGCATCAATTACGGCCCACCAACTCGCTGGCACTGGCATAAAATTGATACTTCATTCGACTCTATTTGAGGAATTGGTATATAACTACAAAATAAAACATGTACCTTGATTTCAACTTCTAACTTAAAATATAATTATTTACTCATACTATTGATCTACCTGCTGTGATTAGACCACACTAACTTTCGATTTTTTCGTTATTATTATTAAAAAATATTTAAACAAAATGTGCTTTAACGAGCACCTAAAAATATATGAAATGAATAAAAAAATCAAGGTTATTTGAATGAAATGTTAAAAGTTGATTCAAAGCTCCACAGCCATAGCTATATAACTATAAACCAAGAGTAAGCGAAGGGGAGACCGGGGCGGAAAGCACGCACATGAATATTTGATAACGCACAAGTCCAAACTCGTGTATCATGCAAATATATACAAAATTCAACATTTTGTTTCAACTAACAATTTCAAACAAAAATAGACCCAAAGTCCGAAACGTTACTCAAACACTAATTACAGAATCGCATGAATAATTTACCCTTTAATGATCGGTGTTTAAGCGCCTCATAAAATATTATAGTAGTCATTTCCTTTTCTGTTCTAAAAATATTATATATAAGAACGATTAAAAGAAACGGGTCGCCCTATGATTTCATTTGAGTACTAGCGCAACTCATTGGCCCACGGGCATCACTAAAGTGGCTTTTATTATACTTTTTAAAAGGATTTTTTGTTTTAAAATTTTTAGCTGATCGTAGCGGCAGAACCACAAAATGAATGGAATCATCATTCCATTTTTTATTTTAGTTTAAAATTCAGTTTGTTTTGTATCAGCTCCACGAATTTATTCTCAGATTTTTTCTTAAGATAGATAAAAATTAAACATTACGTAGGCGTTTTGTTTGAAATCTTTTATATTTCAAACGTTAAATAAATATTTTGGCTTAAATTACCATTGTTAAAACTAAAAGTTGAATATTATTTTAGATAAGTTAAATTAAGTTATTTGAGAAGTCATTAAACCGATGCAATATCTCTGGCGGGGTAACTAGTTGGAACAAACTGGATAACATCTAGTCCGGAGGCTATGTTCGAGATCGTATTGATTTTGAGCTTTGTTGGCGTAGCTTTGATACCTGCGTTGAATGTCGAGTTGGCTTCGAAATAATATTGTCAAATGTGATGTGGAAATATGTAAATATATTTTACATATTTTTCTCATAGTTTGATGTGTAAAAATATGATTACAACTAAGCACAGGCAATATTTTTAAATGATTTAAGGTTAATTTGAAAATGTGGCACAACAATACACTTACATTATCGAAAATTGTATTGCTTGTAGCAAAGAAGTAAAAACTTTTTCTAATGGTAGACAACACTTAGAGATCAAAATTGTTTTATATTACTTTCAACGGTTCAAAGGCTTATATTCAAAAATGCTGTAGTAGCTTTAATTATTCTAAGAAGGAAAATTCTTATTCAAATATTTATATTTACTATACTTTATATAGAAAATTATTTCTTGAGTTATGGCAAATAATAATGAATAAAATTTGATATCATTATAATCTTAGAGACCATCTCATAACATTACTTTTAACTTAAAAAAATTGAAGGCGGTGAAATCTAAAAATGCGTAATAGAAAGAATCAAATTAAAATAAACTACGTCTACAAATCTGTTACTTTCATTGTAATAAAAAAAGACGACGGACGAACTTACAAAACAATAAA